CTCTACATCGGTACGGCAAGCCAGACCCCGTTACGATAGACCCTGAATCTTTTGAACAACCACAACTGATGGCACTGTTACGGTAAGTTCCACGCGTACTGGGAGGCATGTGCACTGGCCCAGGCCACATCCATATTTTGTTAGTTAGCATTAGTGCAACCTTTACACCACTGTTACATTCGTCGCTGCAAATATTTTGCTTCTGTGTGCACCGCCACTGTATTTTCATGCCTAACGTTTTCGTATAAAAGCTTTGCTCAATACTAAAAAACTGAGAGCCTCGAAAGCAAAATCAGAGGTTCGAAAATATCAAACAGTGAAGCGCCTTGGTTTTTTCTTGCTTTTTTCTACATCTGCCGCAAATATGGCGCGCATTTGCCTTCCTTCTCATCGTGCCGATGTTCTGTATCTCACTTATTGCAGAACATGAAAAAAGCGTTAAAAATTGGGTACACTTGGTCCCTGGTGATGCTAACACGACCATTCCGCAGTCCTTTTTAGGCCGATTTCCCTTATGCTCACTCCCATAGATATTTGGGACCAGTAGGAGTAGGTAGACAGAGGCTTCGGGTCATCTTCCGCCACTATGAGGGGGATTGCAACTGGAACCAAAGTCTTCTTACGATGTAGGTGTACATAGTCGCTCTGGATTTGGAGGCCCACACGTCACCCACTCCGTTACCGATATGGAAAGGCATTGTCCGTCCACCCCACAGTGAGGTAATTGGTATCCCACCAAACCTCCGGGAGGTGGATAACTTGAAGTGCGCCGTCTTGGGACCAAGGGGCAAATAGGGTCAAAATAAATAGTTTAGGCTGGGTAAACCAAATATTGACTGAATAGCCTTCTAACTCGTCCCCGGAAGCCTAAGATGTTTGAAGTTTCGTTTTAACGAGCAAGCACCCGAGCAGGCTTCGACGCCGTTTCGCGCTTTCTCCGTGCCGGTCAACTTGCAAATCTTCAGAGGCTCTAGCTCGAACATATTAGCCAGAGGAGTTGGATGTGCTTCCCCCTAATAATTACTATCACATTTGTCACATTTAAACATATTGCTTCTTGTAATGTACTCCCAAATACCAGTCTTTTTGATTTGTATTTCGTTAGCATCTCTTACACGTTAGGGATCGAGCAGGTGCTAGGGCACACCCGGCTTAATACAGTTGGTTAAGCGTTGTGTAACTTTCACAAGACCAGCTCCCTACCGCTTAATTTAATACACATTATACACTATGAAACAAACTCTTTAAAACGCATCGCATCCTGTATGATGGCATGGGGCGTGCTTGGGCGTTCGGTAGGCTACGTTAAAAATCTAAGTCGCATTATCTCACTGTTTATGAGTCCTTTTCTTTCTTTTTCCTGTCTTGCGTTCAAAAGCGTCATAAGTGAGATAACCGTAGATCGTGTTCATTACTGCCAAACATCATTTTTGGACTGTCTCCCAACCTTCATTCTCGCTTTTTAGCTATCGTAACCATTCCATCGAGAGTGACCACAATAAAAAACATTCGGCCCCCAGTCAGCTTTACAAGACAATGTATATGCTATTAACCATGCCATCCCTTGGTACGTTCCAATAACTATGGTCATCATCTACCCATTCGTGCTGTAGCCAATCTACATTCATTATAGGAGAATTGTTCTTACTACTGTGCTATAAGTTGTTTGCAAGAAAATAGCGGGTGGGACTAAACTTTAGCCGAAAGTGGGTAAATAGTGTAAGTGAGTGGTTATGTTGCCATCAGCCAAAACGCAGCTAGTCGTGATGCGCACCGCTGCTGGACCAATATGTACTTCACCTTTGTGTGAGTGCTGATAACAAAAGATAAATAGGAAAGCATGTTAAACAGTAAAAGCTTTCGGAAGGATGATTTACTTATCAGTCTGCAAAGAAAAAGTTATTTTTTGGGAAAACGTCATGATTAATGTACATTTGCAAATTGCTAAAATACGAGCAGCATGGTTCCAAGTGCGGATGCTTACACAGCATGTCGGAACATAAAAGCCAAATACACAGTGGCGCCTTGGAGCAGTATTTAGACGATTTTCAGGTCAGGGTGATGCCCGTCACTGATAGATATCAATTGGAGAACCACTGGAAACCTAACAGCACCAGGCAGCTATTTCGTCTTGCTGTTGCACTCCCCAAAAGTGCGTGTCCATTGATGACCATGGGTGATAGTAGTGTTGTGTCGCAAATTGGCGAAATCAGAAAACCTTAGGCTAATGAATTCACATCCAACGCCTGAATCATGATGCGCTCGTCAACAGTCTTGAGTTTCCTGAGTAGGTCCCCTAACGGGATCTTAGATGCACACCACTGTTTGTTCCTACAATGGGACAAAGAAACCTTCCACAGCTATCGGGTTTGCAGTGGTTTCTCAACTGGCGTCCGTCAGTGGTGAACACTACCTTGAATGTGATAAATTCTCAAACTGATATTGACGTCCTTTAAATATTTTCTTTTAACACTGAACCGGACAGTATGGTGGTGGCGAAAGGGAGGTTTGAGCAACACGCCCGATAAGTTATTCACCTTGGTTGGTGACGACGTGATTACAGTAAACTGGTGGTATCATGTAACAAGTCAGCACCTTATGAATGATGTTGCCGGCTTTGGGGGACCCTTCATATTTTCCTCCCAGAAAGGTGAGGCCGCGGGTCTGGAGAAGAGCCCAAATGAGTTGATCCAAGCATCGAGTTATAACGTGAGCTAAGTTGTCAATGTTACTTGGCTATCATTTACACTATCACCTACAGACCTGCTCCATGGTACATCCCGTAAATGCATGTAAAAGTATCGATCCTCATTTTATACCGCTGGCCCAATCACTGGCTGTTTCTATTAAAAGCCAAGTGTTGTAGACTGAGACGGAAAACGCAGCTTCCTGTCTACGGAAGAACAGACACGGTGATCGGTTAGTTCTTATAACTTCCGCTCCTCATTTCTGAAATCTAGGTAAGCAGTCTATGAATGTAATAGTTAATGGAGTCTGTGCAATCGCAAAGCGTGTATGCACTGACCTCATCTGAACTAGTTTCTTCGTTCATCTAGGCTAACTGTCTAACGCACTAACATAAACACAAGCTGATCCAAATTTCTGGACCGTTTTTCGGTGCCATTAAGCGCATGCTGTCTATTGAGGTATGCACCCCTAGGGATACGAGTTAGTTGAACCAACGGGCTTATGGCTGATGCTTCGGACAAGCTGCTTCAGACAACCACAAAGTTGTAGATAAGAAGACAGTGGCAGAAGTGTAACGTCTCCATTCCAATCACTCTAATGGGCAAGTCCAGAGGGCGAAGTTCAGCAAGGGCATTAAAACTTATCCGTCACTTAATAGGAGTCACTGGCGAATACGAAGTTTACAACGGACGGAAATCATGACTAAACTTACTGGGCGCTACATCGGCTCCCCCTGGCGTTGAGCTAGTACGGTGCGAGCTGCCACTGCTCACAAAATACACTTCACCGCAGCCAGATAAATTCCATCCGGTTGTACTACGGGGGGGGACCGTCGATGTTATCCAAACCTTTAAGTAAGTTATTTAAGGACTCGCCTAGTCAAGGGAAAGTGCCCGACTTTTGGAAGTTAGGCTGCCTCAGTCTTCTAAGAAGGCCAAAGACGTAACCCGAAAAAATACAGGCCGGTAGCATTCTTGTCCATATCGTCCAAAGTAATGGAATCATTAATCTGTGATGGACTGGAGGACCACCTTATAAGGATCAACTTCCTTACGTCCGAACTACACGGGTTTAGAAAATAGCACTCTTTCACTAGTGCTCTGCTCACCGCAGTACATAGATGGACTAGTGCAGTCAACCATCGAGGTGGAATTGACGTTAATTATCTGCACTTTGCTAGGGCTCATTGGTCGTGTTTTTCAAGACTGACCTATTGAAAAATTAAAATTAATCGGGATAGAACCACCACTCACTGACCAGTTGTCTTCACATCTGCGTGGTCACTTCTCTGAATTACCCTACGTCGACAGAAACAGAATGTCCTAGTTGAGTTCTCTAGGGTTCAGTACCTCGGCCTATTTTCTGAAATTCGTAAACGACTTTGCCACACAGGTTTCTTCAGAAATTCTTTTTTTTCCAATGAAGTGAAAAGATACAGAGATACCAGATGCCAGCAAGATAGCGTTGCTCGACAGGAAGACTTAACAAGACTTCGAAACAGGGCAATCAGTAATGGCCTCGCATTTAATCGTGAAAACTCTGAGGAGTCGCACGTAAAACATGATCCGTGTCATGCGTATAGTCTCAATGACATGGGACCTGAAGCACCATTAACAGGGAAGAATTTGAGCTTTTGAGTTCCCAAGACGTAAAAACGTATGCCAACTGTGACAGGAACGTATTTCGCAGAAACTCGACTTTAGGAACCCTTGGACGGGTTTTCGGACAATTTGATCGTGGATGTATTCACAAAATTTTCAGCAGCTTCACACGGCTTCACCTAGAGTTTAGAACCCTTGTCTTCCCCCGTTCTCTGCAGGAGGACAGAATAAGCTTGGAACACATACGGGGGCGCTCGACCAAATCTTCTGCGAGAAGTAGGACTAACACGCATGAAGAAAGACCGTTTGCACTGGATATGTAAGCCCTTAAATATGGAAGGCTAAGATGGGACTGTATAATAACTCACAGCTTCCTGAGTACCCCTAGACATCCACTCTGCTATTTAGTGAATCTTAGCCGCAACAGTGATCTTAGAGTAAACATATAGAAAGCAAGCCTGAAACAGCAGGATAGATATCAGGCAGAACTTCTATCCCACGAGAGTTGTTAAACCCTGAATCTCTTTTCCTACAGACGTGATCCAGGCTACTTCAGTTGAATCCTTTAAAAGTCAAATGGGTTCTTATTTGACATTTGGCTCGGATCTGCGCAGAACTAATTGTACTTTTACATTTTAACCGCCAAGTTTTCCTCTCTGTTTATTTGTATATTGGTAGACAACCACAAAAAGTAATGATCCGCGGATTCTAAACACGGAAGCCAGCTAGGCGAAAACTTCTATCCCTCCAGCAACCAATTGTACTGTCCGGACATTTTGGATGCAGATTGATAGTGTCCTTGTCACTGTCAGCGGTAGTTTTAAGAAAAGTATCCACGTATAGAACTTAGGCACGGACTGTTGTTTTAGGTGCGTTAGTCAAACTTCAAGTGACTCGTTTGTCATCTAAAATTTAATTTGGCTAACTTCGAAAGATAACTGGCGTCATGCCAGTATTACTTGACAAGTATTCAGTAAACTTTGATAGACGAATATATATATATATATATATATATATATATATATATATATATGTAAGAATACATATGTTATTTATGTATTGAAGTTTGAAACATGTGTATGCCTACGAATTTCCTAATTAAGTTCTGTCAGTGTTGTCGAAAGCTTATTTTAGAACCTAAGCCTAAAGCAATGTAGAAAAAGCGGAAAAGACTTGAAATTACTGTGAGACCCCCAACTTTCTATAATCTTCCCACTTTCCTCCCTTCATTCGTCTAGAGTTCCTATAGGGACTTGCATGCATGTATGCATGCCCAATTGTTTCTCTCTCATTTGCAATATTTCCTTGGTTTTTAAAAAATCCTCGTTACTTCTGTTAACCTTTCCATTGTTGTCAGGGTAGTAGTGATCGGTAAGAGTGAACTTGAAAAAATTTTTGGGCTTGGAACAGAAACAAGAACCACTAGTCAAAAACGTAACTAGTGTACAGCGGAGGAAGAACACAACGTACCTCCAGTTCACCACGTAAAATTTGAGCGTCGTTCTGATGTGTCATCCTTAAAAGGGAATACTGTGGTGGTGTACCAGCCCTGCGAAAACCTGTTTTGGTACTGTTTAAATCCATTCAAGCCAGCTTGTTAATATCCTTAGGATGAATCACCACATACTACTTAACATATAATGCAACCATATTTTTCCCTCATGCTCGAACTTTCGGTAAATTTAGTGCACAAGTTTTTGTGATATAGTACTGTACGTCTAACCTTATTTCTTTTGTGAAAACATTTCGACTCATATGTATCAACAAGTCTTTAAATATACAACTGACTGAGCAGGCGTAAGTTTCCAAAGTCGTTCACCATACGAGTTCATTCTAACGGTCACATCAGATAAAAGTTTACCCTGTTACGCTTTGTTTTATACCGCTTATCAGCTTGGAGCATTTTAAGTTTGCAATTAAAGTTACATAAGCTTTTTATGTCTCAATTTCGTTCCCAAAATACGTCTTCTTTCGGTCATATGACTTCAACTGCCGATGTCATTCCTTTTTATTCTCCCCTTGTAAATAACCTTTGGTTTTTTGTTGTGGAATGCAGCAAACTTCATAAATGTTAGCTATGTCTGTTTCTATGTCGTCTATGTTAGTCGTTTCTTGTGTGCGTGCAAAAAATTCATGCAATTCTCCTTGAAGTTGGCAAGACTGTAACTAACATGGAACAAAGACAATTATTATTATTTGTCCCTTGAGTTCCTAGTGGAACTTCGGGGTTCAGTAGCACGTCGCCATTTCACTCTCTTCTCTGCAGTCTTTTCAACCTGGCTCCACGACTGCCCACAAGCCTTCATTTCTTCCTCACATGATTTCCTCCATGTTGTCACCATCTGACGCCCAAATAGTCGTTTCTCATTTGAGTTCCACTGGAGGGTCTGGCGCGCGATGCCCCCGAATGATATCAGTGTGTGCCCAACCCATTGCCACTTTCTTCTGCATATTTTTCGGGCAATGGGTTCTTGGTCGGTTCGTTATTAGAGTGAATTCCTTGTTGCTTATTCTTTCTGGCTATTTGATTTTCAGTATCAAGCGTAGGCACCTGTTGATGAATATCTGCAGTTTGTTGGAAATTCCTTTCGTAACGCGCCAAGTTTCTGAACCATAAAGAAGCACTGACTTGACTGATCTTAGTGTTGAAAATCTGGATCTTGTTTTTTATGCTAAGTGCAGTAGATATCCATACTGATTTCCGACTAATGAAAGCCTGTCTTGCTGTCTTTCTGATCCTCGCTTTGACATCCTCATTTGTGCCACCGCCTGTAGTCGTAACGATGGTGCCTAGATAGGTGAAAGAGGTTACTTCCTTTTGGTTTCTCCCGTTGATGGTGATTGTTGCTTGTTGTTGTTGGTGGTGGTGTCGGTTGGTTATCTTCATCACCTCTGTCTTCTCTACGTTCACTAGAAATCTCGTCTTCGCTGCTCTGCCTCTCCTGCTAACTTGTTGGTTTTTACCTGTAGATCTTCTACTTTGTGCGACAAGGTATTAGAAATAAATCATCATCGGCGGCGAAATTCAAATTTTTTTGGGTCTCTATCAGTCAAACAGCGTATGCCCCTCTTCTCACTCCTCACAGTTTGTTGTATGATATATTCCAGTCGACCACAATCAGGAATATCATGGGTGATAGTAGGAAGCCTTGTTTTACTCCTGTCTTCACTTCAAAGGCATAACTGAGCTTTCCATTATGAATCACTTGGCATGTGGCGTCTTCATATAGTTGTTGCATGAGGTTGATAAAAGTTTGTGGTATTCCATAGTGTTGGAGCAGTTGCTAAATTACTTCTCGGTTGACGCTGTCGAGGGCTTTTTCAAAGTCGATGAAGTTGAGGTTGAGTTGAGTTGACCCTAGGTGATATGGCTCAGAACCGAAGTCAGTGGCGCAGATGTATACACACATTATCCTCATCTTAACAACGCTATACCGAATCTCGCCATTTTGTCGCTCCTCTTTCCTTTCTTCTCGTACTTTATGTTTCTTTTGACTGCATTCACTTATCTTCATCCTTCACCTCACTACCTTTTTACTTGATGTGCTGATATGAGGTGTGGCAAGTTGGACCGTTACGCAGTAATGCCTGGTCCTATGTTGATAACGATGATGATGATGAGTTGAGTTGACTGCCATTCTATATTCTGTTCTATGATGATGTGTAGCAAGGCGTTGCCATTTGATCCGCACATGATTTATTCTTCCTGAATCCAGCCTGTTCGGTCGTAATTATGAATCCAGAGCATTTTTTAGTCTCTTCAGGATGATGCGGCTCAATATTTTGCTTGCTCCGGGTGGACAAGAGAATGATTCCACGCCAGTTCTTGCAGACTTCTTTGGAAGTTTGAAAAGGTATCCCTTCTTCCAATCGATCGCCAGGTACCTTTTCTTCCTTCCAAATCTTCTGCAGTAGTGGTGTGAGCATGTCTGCTGTTGTCTCTGCATCTGTTTTCAGTGCTTCTGGAGGGATTCCATGTAGTCCTCAGCTTTTTAGAATTTCATCAGCTTTATGGCTCTCAGGACTTCACTTTTGTTCTTGTTGGAGGGCTTACGTTCACTGGTGATTCTGTGGCTGGGCTACTGGTGGTATTTTTGGACGAGTTGTAGTTGGTGGTGGTGGTGGTCGATTCAAGAGTTTTTTGAAGTGATCAGCCCATCGTTTCCTTCGTTTCTCCACTTTGGTAACTAAGTTTCCCTCACTATCGTTCACTGGTTTCATGTGTGTTGGTCTCTTCCCAGATAGTATTTTGGTCATTAGATATAATGTTGTCAGGTCTCTCCTACCAGCAGCCTGTTCTGCTTCACTTGCCAGTGTGTCGTAGAAGTGTCTTTTATCTTTGCGCGCACTCCCCTTCACTTCTTTTTCCAGTGTAGTGTTTTATACGTTGTACTCAGTTCCTCTTTTCATTGTTCATCCCTGCACTGCAGCGCACTGCACTGGTTCATCTGCTTCACCATCTTCCTCTCCCTCCTCTATCAGCTTCCATGTGTCCATCGAGATCCATTCCACTACCTGTCTTCTTTCTTCTTCCTTCCTGATACGGTTATGCAGGTTTCTTTCCACATCTCTTTCAAAAACTTCCAGTGTTCATCCACATGTTTCTTCAGGGATGTTCCTCGATATCTCCCATTTTGTTCTGATGGCTGACGTGAAGATGTCCTTTGTAGTTTTGTCCTTCAGTTTCCGAGTGTTGAACTTGGACTGTGGTCTATCACCAACTTCTTTGAAGGCTTTCAACTTGATTTTGGAGGTTTCTTCCACTAGGCGGTGAGTGGTGTAAACCTACATCTGCTCCTTTTCTTGATATTGTGTCAAGTAGACTGCGTCTCCACTTTCTTGAGATTGAGATGAAGTCGGTCTGATTTTTAGTGTATCCTGGTGTTTGGTGAAATCCATGTCGCTGCCTTGTGAATATCTTTGTGTTTGTACACAGTGCCTCCAATCACCAAATCATTGAATGCGCAGAATTCTGCAAACAGTTCTCCATCATGGTTCATTTCACCGAGCGCTTCTCGACCTGTGATGAGTTCTCTTCCTGTGTTGTCCGCTCCGAGTTCAGCATTCATGTCACCCATTAGAATGAATTTTGATGTCACTAACTGGGGTCTTGTCTATTACTGATTTCAGTTGTCTATAGGACCTTTTTTAATTTGGATTATTTGTAGGTGCGTAGCGTAGTATTGTATGATTGTGACTTTCCTTCCTTTTGATTTGAATGTTGCTATCAGATCCTGAGCGTTGAGGAGACTGGTTCCCATTGCATGATAGCCTTCGATGCTCTTGGAGACATCATGATGGCTACTGCAAAACTCCGTGTGCCCGTGGTTGTCGTCTGGGTGACCGGAGTAGATTAAGAGTTTGGAGAGTCTATTTCCATTCCTTTCGCAGATTCTTAGCCTAGCGCTTCTATACCATATCTTCTCATCTCTTTTGCAATCTGAGCAGCCTTGCTAGGTTCATACGTGGTGCGGACATTCCATATCCTCATGTTTACTTTCGCTTTCATTGAGAGAAGACACATCGACCAATTGGCTTTCCGAAAGCTTTCACCAAACGGCGTCATTTTGTCTTCCCGATTCCAGCAAGGAATAAGTTTGTTTTTATTTTCCATATTTTCTTTGTGCTTTGAAGTTTTTTCGCGGTTGGATTGGTTTTCCGAGGTAGGGTTGCTAGCCCTATTCCCAACCTTCCCTCTTTATCCGGGCTTAGTTTTGGTTAGTAACTAGTGAACTACTTAACTAACCGAGGTCAAAAATATGGAACACTTCGCGATTTTGCGTGTCATCCTTGTGCAGGCCCATGCTTATCTTCTCTGTATCGTTCCAATTTTAGTATATATACCGCCGAAGCAAGTATACGAACAAGGACAATAGGAGGTTGAAATATGTTATCCCTTTAAGTTTGTAAAGATGTTAGCTAGGGATTGGTAATTAGTCTAACAAACAAACAAATTCAGTGACCTGAAACATTACCAGACAGGACCGAGGCTGGAAACCTGTATCGAAATGCACTCAGCAACCCCATGCACGTCCGTACAGTGGGGACTGAGCCACACATGCTGTGTAAGGGATAATGATAATACCAGGTGGGGCGGAGTTCGAACCCACGACCCATTGGTTGAAAGTCAACTGCCTAAACGAGCCATCCACAGCTCCACACAGGCTAAATACTAGCAGCAACCATGCTACAATTTCATATCGAAAAGTAATGGAACATTTCTAAATGTATCTAATTGAACCATTTCTGTGGTCTTTTTTAACCTATATCTTGTGTTCATTTTGTCTCGATAATGTTGATTTATTTCGTATCCTACGTTGTTTTATGTTTATAGCTGTTTTGAATATGTAGTAATTACAGTCTGAAACGTATTAGGGTTCTTGTGTAGTTTGGTTATATTTTGTCAGCTTTTAGTTCCCTTTTTTTTAGTTGGATGCTCAATTTTTATGTTAGAATCATATTCAGATAACTCATGAGACTAGAAATATTCTGCTCGCTAATGAGTTATTCAAATGCATTGAGACGATTGCTGTAGTGACACTGCAACATACAAAGGATACTTAAAGGTACAAACTTCATGCTACTTAGTAATTTCACCCATATTATTTATTGAATCCTAAATAGAATCGAAAAATTTGGAATGAGCTCATTTATTTCCTTTCTAGGTTTTTTGATATAGCTCTTCCCAAACTACTCTTTAAACATATTGGAATAAAAGCATACTGCTCTTCTAACGACTTCTGTTTTATTTTAGTGATTTACACTCAAATAAGAGTAGAATTTGGTTTTCACTTTCTTCTAAATGGATACACATGAACCGACCATACAAAATATTTTGGAGTCAAATACTTTGCGTTGGATTTTTGTGGGTGGCAAAGGAGGAGTTGGAAAAACTACATGCAGCTGTAGCATTGCAGTTCAACTAGCTAAGGTGCGTGAGCGAGTCCTCATTTTGAGCACAGATCCTGCTCATAATCTGTCAGATGCATTCGACCAAAAATTTTCACGAAATCCTACTAAAGTCAAAGTGAGTTGTGTTGGGTGTTTTTGAACCTTTTTCTTTTCGGATATCAGAGTTGGTTTCTAAACAGCTAATTTTCCTGCTCACCTCTACTGTATTTTTTAAGAATAACTTCTCTGTTATATCACGTGACAGGTATTTGTTTGAGTTTTAATAGATTGCTGCAGAAGAAAATTACACTCAGCAAACTCGTGCAGTAGGCGATGAGCCACACCTAGTTTGTGAGGGCTGATGATACCACCTGGCTGCCCAAATCTTGCTACGTGGAGCGGGGTTTAAACCTATTGAAAGTCGTTTCCTTGAACCATTAAGCGACAGCTCCAAATGGATTCCTGCAATAAAACTAATTAACTTTTCAAACGAAGGGAAGATAAATAAAAGAATAGCCACTATTGTTTATTGTTTATGTTCGTTGGATTATAACGAAACGTGTAAGCGAACAAGATTGCTTTCAGTTAGATCTCAGGCTTCACTCTAATACACAAACCATGGTATTTTGTGAGTCAACGATAACAAGAATGCGAGTTATACACTCCACAATAGTAAAAATAATGATATTACGAGGGACAATTCAAATGTTGAGAATAGTATGACAATGTAAACAGGTGTTCAGATGGACAAAGTTGTCCAGAGCTTGGAGAAGGACAGTGCGGTTATGTAATACTGGAGGGATGTACAGTAGATAGACAAAGCTTGGATGTGAATATGGTAGTGGTGTGAAAGAAGTGAAAAATAAAATAAGGGGAAGAACAACATGTACAGAAAATTAGTGAACTGTACACGGATATGCAACTTGACAACTTATTTTCCTATCGGATAATGAACTGATCAGGTTTAAAAATGTTTGTCAATAGTTGCCAACAGTACATAAATGGTAGTTCTACAAATAATTTGTTGATCAGACAACGTCAAGAAGTTAATCAAAGGCTTCGGAAGAATGGAAAACTAATTGCGAGTAAGCCGGACGAGGGAAGAATTGTAGTGTTTGTTGGGCAGAAAAAAATTATGTAGACAAAACGGAATTTAAGTTTCTGGAGCTTAGGTATTCTAAAGATTTGAAAACAAAAGCTAAAAAGTATCGGACCAGATGCTTTAAGGGACAGGTATAATCTCAGCACCGTTGCATAACGCACTGAAGTTCACATGTTGTAACACCACGGCTTGTGGTGTGCCTAAAGTCCAAAAACCTATTCTTTCTCTTCGTCCAGTCATGGATTTGTATAACTTGCCATATCATGCAGTCGCAAGTGGTTGTTCCAGATTTTACGACCTCTTCACATACTAGTTACAAAACAGTGTGAAAGTTTTCGGTTTCATCTGTAAAGTGACAAAGGTAAGTATGAGTGGAAAACGTATGTCTTTATATTTATCGTCACTACTCACCAATGTGCCGCTCGCTGAAGAAATTGACGGCGTAGGTCAGCAAGTGATGTCGAGGATGTCGAGAAACAAATCGACATTGGAATTCCTGAGTCTAACCTTAAGGAATGTGTATTTTGTCTTCAGTAATGCATATTATAGACAAGTGGGTGGAATTGTGATGTACTCGCCATTTGACCCGACCAAACTTCTTTCTAGCCAAAATAGAGAATCGATCGTTGATGCGTGTAATCAGCAAGTTAGATATGTTACTGATAAGTGGATGACACGTTCTTTATAATTCATCAGAATATGAATAAGAATGAGCTGTTTAGGAATTTTAACAACACCTACTCTTCGCTTGCGAAGAATAACATGAGAAGAACTTAAACGTTTTTGATGTTCTATTAAGTAGGCGAGGAGATTGACCATTTTGCAGAAACGTTTACAGAAGAAGCGAATCTGTTTGTCAGTCTACACTTCTTATGTTCCGTGCTTATTACCTACAAAAGAAATCTAGTGAAATGTTTGATAGCCGGAGCAAGGAAACTTTACTTAGGTAAAGAATAAGCTACCACTTCTATGTTTATTTATCAATTTAATCTCTATGGAGACAGTTATATCGAGCTTGAGACTAGGCAATTTAACCAACGTATTACTCAGCACCTACATTCTGGACTGAAAAAAGGGCAGGTTAAATCCATAAGAAGCGCTATTTTGTCCCATCTGGCTGACAGTAGTCACAGAGCAGATAAAATAAAAACGTTTAAGATGATTTCCTGCATCTCATCGGACCTTTCTGCTGCGGTTAGAACTCGTCCTTTACATAAAGCTGAGACTATACGAGTTCAAGTGAACAATATGAAGCTCTGTATTCAAAAGAAATTTGTGAATCCGTTATCTTTGCGTTATATATATATATATATATTAGTCTCAGTGTAGTAGCGCTTACTCATTTAGTGAGTTTACTCAGGTTATGCAACGAATGATCATTATAGTATTATTTTGTAGCCGTAAAATGTTTTAAAACGTATGATTTTGTTCCTTTAAGGCAGCTGATACGAGGTCCTGAACCCTACATGTGCACTTACCGTAGCAGCTTATGTCCACCCAACATTTAGACGTATCTCTACACCACAGTTAAAAATACTACCGTTGAAACCTTTCACATTACTACAGATCTCACAGATGACTCGATGATATACACAAGTTTGTCATTCGATGTTGACCACTTGACTTAATCGACGCACTGTGGTCAATAAGAGGCAGAGTTTTGTGAACACTCAGAAATATAGCGTTCTGTTGGTTACCATCTGAGGATAAATTCAGAAAAGCTCGCTTGGGCATTTTTGAAATTACTTTCATCTGATGTAGAATGTAGTAGTATTAGTATAGACTAACTTTCTTGATAGTCATCAATATCATTACATTGCACATTCCGTACTGTTCCTGTAAAAGTCAAAGATGGTCTTTCGTTGTTATTCAAACTCATTTCCAGTGTATATATCGCCTACATATTTTTGCTGTAGGGTTTTGACAATCTGTTTGCTATGGAGATAGATCCAAATGTTAACCTGGGAGAATTTGAAGAAGATCTTGTAGGTTCAGAAGAAGCAGCAGTGTCCGCTGATATCAGAAAAACGATAGCTCATCTAATGACATCCTTTCCTGGGGTTGATGAATATATGTCTTACACTGAAGTGTTTCGTCTGGTTCGTAATATGGATTATTCGGTTGTGGTTTTCGATACAGCTCCTACAGGTCATACTTTACGGCTACTGGCGTTTCCAGAAGCTATGGAAAAAAGTCTTAGCAAGGTAGTTTCAATGAAAAATCAGGTGAGTTATGCTGATATAATAATTTTTGTCTTGTTTTTATACTCTTTCTAAAAATAATTTTGCTTGGCATCAAAAAGAATTATTATTATTATTACTTGTCCGCTGGGTTCCTAGTGGAACATAGGGCTTTTTAGTAGCACGTCTCCAGTGCACTCTATTCTCTGCAAACTTTTGAACCTGGTTCCACGACAGCCCAGAAGCTCTCATTTCTTCCTCGCACGATCTCCTCCATGTCATCCTCGAATCGGACGCCCAACTCGTCGCTTCCCATCTAAGTTCCAATCAGCGGCCTGGCTGGCCTGACGCGTGATGTCCCCAGTCGACCTTCTCAGTGCATGCCCAGTCCATCTCCACTTCCTTTCACTGCATATTTGTTGAGCGACAACTTCTTGGTTGGCTCGTTGCTAGCCAGCCAGAGTTTCTTGTTGCTAATTCTTATTATTCTGGTCATCTGATCTTCAGTAACGAGCCATTGCGGGCAGTTGTTGATGAATATCTGTAGTTTGTTGGAAATGCTTTTTCATAACGCGCCGACAAGTCTCTCAACCATACAGAAGCACTGACTTCACTGATATTAGTGTAGAAAATCCGGATCTTGTTGATGCTTTATGCTGAGTGCAGAAGATCTCCACACTGGTTTCAGGTTAATGAACGCCTTTCTTGCTGTATTTCCGATCCTGACTGCTTTGAGATCCTCGTCTGTGCCGCCTGTTGTTGAAACAGTGCTGCCTTGGTGAAAGAGGTGAAGGAGGCTACTTCCTTTAAGTTTCTCCCGTTTACAGTGATTGGAGCTTGTTGTTATTGTTTCTGTTGTTGTTGGTTGGGTATCTTAATCACCTCTGTCTTCTCTACGTTCACTTGAAGTCCCGTCTTCGTATCAAAAAGAATAGTTGTTTAATATTTCAGATAAAAATACAGTTAGTAGATACTGACATACATAATAAGCTTTAACAGAGTCATTTTCAAGTGAGAAAACCATTATAATGCAGTGACCACTTGATAGATGCATTTCATCTTAGAGATTAAATTTCGCACGATGCAAACTTTTCGGTTAGATTAAGTTTCCTGGTACTTTGATTTAAACTCATCAATAGTCCACAAACTCAGTGAAAGTTTATGAGGTAAGCGAGAAATATGAAACTGTAGAATCTAGTGATTGCAGACCATCGGTCATTTTACCCATATTGCATTACAATGATACGAAGGTATGCACGTAATTTGGATCCACTTCACTATTTTGTATATTTATTTCTCGTCACCTTATATCTTATTATTTCATTGGTTCTGTTGTCTCGCTTCCTAGCATACGTTGACTTCTGCCTTCTTCATCACCTAACCTAATACCTTTTGCTTAAACCGAGAAACACTATGTGGGAGTTAGTGTAACAAGATTTGAATAATTTCCATAGGCATTTGAGGTCAGTACAGGCTTTATGTAGACTTCCCACTCAGTACAGTTGATCAGTTTTGACTGACTACTTATTTATGTTCTATCTAGTTGAAGAAGTTCGTTGGGTTCAAAGAGATGCGTAAGAATGATCTTTAGTCCAAAAAAGTTGTAGTGTCATGGAGTACTGATATCATACATATTATGATGCCGAAGTTTGTCCTTTAGAGCAGCTAAGAATAACTGATGCGCCTCTGCATTTTGACACCATTTATAATAACAACAATATGGGTGATAGTTATAATCGTAATGACTCTTTATTCGCTAAATAATGACAGTGTGCCTATTCTTCCTAGCTTGATTGTCGACGAAAAACGAGTATTTTCAGTCAAATTCTGTGCAGTATGAAAGTTGTCTCATGATTCTACACAAATACCGCTTGTTAGGATTATACGAACTCGATAGAGTTCAAAATATAATTAATCCCAAGCTTTAGCAAGGAAGCTTATCTGGCTGGTTTGAAGGTGGAACTCGAAAAAAAGTGTAGTTACTTACCGAGAATGAACGTTACCCTGTCCAGATAGTGACCGTAGTGGATAAACAAATGGGTTTTAAGGTTTAGTTAAACCATTTCTCATTGCTAATATAAAGATAAAATTTGGGCGTTATGGTTGAGTATAATCTCCTTTTATAGTTATTTCAGTATATGTCTCAGAGTGAAACACTGCTTTTTGTTTACACTATTCTTCATTGTTCTCCGTTATCTTATAAATTGTTGGTTAGTTTGTATTTCAAATGCTTTTGCTCTTTTTCATAAATGTAATCAAACTGTACTCATCTAACCCCAACTACCTTCGATGTTCTCGTCGAAATCTCCTAAGTGTTTCTAACCTTAAAAAGCCGATCAAATGTTATACAAGACTACCTGGGTACCAATTTCAGTTAGAATACCGTGATGTGTTGAACTTTTCTGAACACAGTCACTTACAAACAATACAACAAGTGTCACTCTTGATGCACTCTTTAAGCTGAAGTAAATATCCACCAGATAGAGAGACATACAAGACCACCATAGGATCAGGCACTACTGCATAGCGGTCCAAGTTGCCTCACCTCATGTCAATACATCAAGAGAGAAAGCACTAACGTGGAGAACAAAGAAACAGACAAAAACTCAGTCAAAAGTGGTACAAAGTCGTGATAATATAACAGAAAGGAATAAAAGAATATTCACTTTAGTATGACAATTAAGATGAAGATAATACTTGGATGCATCTGGGCGATATCAGCTAGAGTCTTTTACCAGTGTTTTCTCTTATCTCGGGAACCCCAACCAGGAAGTCTATATTTCCCTAAATGACTCGAGACCATTAGTCAAAGACTTCACGTAATAGTGCTATGTCGTAGTCTGGCCTCCTCTAACCTTTTTTCAGTCTGAACCTACTTCACCTAACTTTATGGGACAAGGCAGACGGTAACTAGGCATATGTAACACATGTCCTAACCACCTCAGTCGTGACGGTTCCATAGATAACGTTAGTTGGCAAAAGCCAATGGAGCCTTTCTGGCGCCCGTACAGAGATCTCATCGACCATTGACCCACTAGGACTGATCTGACTTCCCAAGCAAGTGAGATGTTCAACGCACTCAACCGTTTCACTCCCTTTCGTTAGTCAGGGGACCTCTGAAAACGTTTCTTGGAGTGACTGTGCGCATTTGGCGCGAATCATATACCAAACATTCTCAAATTGTCACTCAATGTGTCCAAAAGCCTGCATTTAGTCAGCGGCTTTGCTTAGCAGGACTATGTCACCTTCTTATTCTAGATATACCGAAGATCCTCCTGTGATGAATCCCTGTGAAGTCAGACAACAAGATGAAGATCTCCGTAAGGACTTACATGATAAAATTGAATAGGAATGGCGAGGGTGAATATCCTTGACGGGCACCACTCGATGTACACAGCTCACCTGATAACTCACTATAGGCTCTAACATGCACATGGGTGTTCGAGTAAAGAGCCTTCAACAGAGTGGTATACTTATTTGATACCCGTTTCAGTGGGAGTTACTGCAGTAAGTTGTCTTGACCGACGGCGTCGAATGCCGCCTTCAGGCAGAGTACAGCTAGTGTTGAGCGTCGGCAAGTGTGCCTGTATTTTAGAACCTGGCGGAGGATTAGTCTCTGGTCGATGCACCCACAGTAAGGTCTGAGCCCTGCTTGGTTTTCTCGGGCTTGCTGTTCCCGAGCTCCACTCAAATGTCGAATGGTTATAAAACCTAGGACCTTAGACATTACGTTTGTCAGGCTGATTCCTCTGTGGTGATGAAAAGGAGATCTCTCACCTTTCTTGAAGACTGGGACAATCAATGATTTAGACCAGTCTGCGGGGACCACATCTAACTCCCATTCTCTATCTAACACTTCAGTCAACTTGACCAATACTTCTCTACCACCGTCCTTAAATATCTCTAGCACTAATCCATCCGATCCCACTGCACTTCATCGTTTCATATTACGTACAGCTTTCCCGACGTCTGCAAGTGTTAGGTCTCACTCAATGTCCCATTCAAGATCCATCTGGATGGCTGGCAACAGAATAGTGGCTATCGGTCAGTTACATTTTCTTCTGAAGTGTTTCATCCATCTTTCCGGTCGTCTCCTCTGCTAGTGAATCACAGACCCATTTTTTTTATCTCACTGATCACTGATTTTTTCGCCCCAGTTTCCTTGGTGAGTCTAAGTAACTGTCTATTATTACCTATCGCTTCTGCCTTTTCCCTCCCTTTAGCTTTCGTTGCCCACCACTGCTATGAATCATTGCATAGACTTTCTGTCGGTCTGGATTTAGTTAACATTCGCTCCTCATTGTGCTTGGGTCCTGCAGTGATACGTTCGCATGCATCCATTGATTCAGAAGCTGCTGATTATCCACTGGGTCTTTTTAACCGCTGTCTGAAAGTCGGCTATAGTCCTCATCGCTGTTTATACTTTAGACTGGAAATAGTGCCAAGCTTCATCAAGTGAATGTTCTGTTTCGATAACCGTCAAACCAGTATCTCACTGTAAGCGGTCTTAGTACTCTCATTACCGAGCTGCACTCACAATGGTCTTGTTGTTATAGTTTTTCTACCTCCATTTAGATGCAGATAATCGAAACCCGCTTCTCTATCGGGAGTCGGCCAGCTATTCACTTGAACTGCTGACTGATTAAACTTCGAGAAAAGTTTCGGAATAAACGGTATTGTCCTGCTTATTCTTGCCAATGATGGCTAATATCGATTATTTCTGGGTTGACATTAGCGGGAATCATCCATCTTTGCATCACATGAATGGTAGCAACGTGCGCGCACGAGAGAAGATAATTTTAAAGACCGAAGGAAAGAGAGTTTCTGATAGTCAAGGACATGATTGATGTTAAAGAGGTGTCTTGGCGACTAATATCTTCATATTCCCTGGAAAGTTGGTTGTATTTTTCTCCCTCCATATTCTCTATTAATGCTTCGGTTGGTATCAGTTTGTGTAGACCTTCAAGCTGACAGTCTATCGCCTAACCAGCATCATTTCATGCAATTGGTTACTTTCATGAATTATAGTAAAACAGGAACAACAATTTTTTTCAGAATACAATGAATTCATATCATTCTATTGCCGTCTTATCAATCACACACAGGGGAATTATATAACAGGCTATATAAGGGTAAAAGTAGTTTACATAGCTTAAAGACAATGAGGTTTATATTGTTTACAGAAAACAGTGGGATGAAAACGTGCATTTGACAAAGCCCGATTGGAAGAGCATTTCAGTTAAAATCAAATGTATTCAAGTTTTTATATCATCAGATTATCGCTGTGATACACTAAAAAAACCGAAAAGTCAATTGATAGAGGTTGTGTAACAGTGAGAACATAAGGCTGAGGTTGGTCTGCTTCAAGGTTAAATTGGTAAGTGCCGACAGCAATATTATGGCATTGGATTGAGTCGATTGTGTAATCATTTATTGTGCATACTACAAAATGAAGAGAGAGTGGATTCCTCTTAATCTTTCAAAATAATTCATAATCTTTAGGGTGAGTTGTTCTTTGAGCTAGGGATTCAGGGCCATCATCATGACATCGTCATTACTGCATTAGAGCTTCACGAGGAAGTAGACTAATTGGTTGTATATGGGTATTTATCATGTACTACTTTAGTTGAGTGTAATCTTACTGGTCATCTGGTGGATTCATGGGCGTATGCTGAACCTGATTGGTTAGCTTTCTGTCTCTAGTTTTCTCAATGGGGCGTGCACACCCTAGAATGATATTGAAACAATGGCCATGCTAAACCCTAACTCAGAGAACAATACTGGGGATATCCACACTCCAGGCTGCAAATATTACCTTCAAATTCATAATCTGTTTAATAGTTAGGATATACCTGAACTGTGCTCTCTGTATCTGTATAAACGCTACTTATAATCCACTACCAAGTTAGTGACTAAATTTGTTATTTTGATCTCTTGCTCTCTATCAAATATTATTGATAGTGATTGTTTCAATTTCATTTTAATTTCTGCTTTATTCTCATACAAAAATAGTTTGCTCCATTTTTAAATCAACTAATGAGTCTTGTTGGAATGAATAGTGCACAAGGTGGTGATTTAACCAATGCACTGGAAACACGTTTACCAATAGTTAAAGAAATAACAAGACAATTTAAAGACTCTAACCAGACCACATTTGTCTGTGTCTGTATCCCGGAATTTTTAAGCATGTATGAAACGGAGCGTTTAGTTCAAGTAAGTTAGAAATTCTTATTTCTATTCAGTTTGATGTTTAATACCTTTTCTCGGTTTTCAAATAGTTCATTATAGTGTTGTAACAAAGTATTTACTTCTTATAGAGATTTCCGTTACTTTCAGCGTCGATAAGACAAGTAAAAATACCTTCACTGTTCTCTTCTAGAACCACACATCATGCGAGGGCTACTGATACTACCTGGCTGCCCAAACCCTAGTAGGTGGGGAGGTGGTCGAATCCACAACCCACTGGTTTGAAGGTCAACTCCCCAAACTAATGATACAGAAATCCATTGACCTTGTATAATGTGTGACCAATATCGACTGAATGCGATAAAAAAAAAAGTAGCGCTTCTTACATATTTCATTTCCTTTTTCGACGATGAAGTTAGATGTCCAGCAACATGCATTTTAAGTGTCTTTCTCCACAGAATCAGTTTTATTTGTAAGTACACATAAAATCGGTGAAACTAGATAACTAATCTTCTTTTTGAGCAGCAGCGATCGATCGGCTGATGAACAAAGTTTATTAGTGTGAAAAAAATGCTCCTAATTTCTCTAGATAGCTTGTGATATATAACTTCAATTACTGCATCTCCATTGAATTGCAGTTTCATTAGCAGTGGTTGTTTTTGCACGGTAATAAATTCCTATTTATTTCCCCTCACTTTGTCCACGTGACTTTTCATGAAGTTATTAAGATTGCCTACTTCAATCAATGAGTTATGGATATATTCCAACGCCTTATGTATTAAGTCGTCAGAACATATCCTCCTTCTCGCTCTATTGGTAAAGCACTTAACTAGGCTTATTTTATACCAAATTTATACATGCCTAAGAAAATTTGTGCATCCATCTATAGATATGGTCTTCATATACACACGTCTACTTAAATCCAAAAAGTGTAGTCCACTCGCATTTTCTTCTGCATAAATGAACGTAAATGAAGGGTGCACTTCATCAAATTTCCTTTATATTTTGTTTCTATCCATATTCTGATAAGTAATGATGAAAGTGTGAACATAACGGCGATACATATTCATTCTGTTGATGATATTTTTTAACAGTCAGTTCACTTTTTCGGCGAAAAAGAGGTCCATTTCGTGAAACCATAGCGAATTCTATCAGTTTGTCTATGATGTATGTGTTTGAAGACAGTGTAATTTCACAGTACGTCTAAGAAATAATTGCTTGAAGGCTCCTATGTGGATACCTCGATATTGCCTGAATGTACCTGCCTGGATGTACCATCACTAGGGTTCAGGTACATCCAGCTGACGAGTCCTAAATAGGACGAGACGCGCGTCCCGGATTCTTCTGCTAGCCACAACCAACCAATTTATCATAATTAACATTCAGGCAGTATCGAGGTATCCACATAGGAGCCCATATGCCAATAGAGGTCGGACAATTCGACCCAACAAAACAACGGAGAATAACAAGTATATCAATAAATAGTAACAACTACTACCCGTTGTACAAGACGTGGCTATCGTTCCTCCGTGGCATAGTAGACAACACCTTGGCGTTTGGAGCGATGGGTACGAAGTTTGAGTCCTAGTGGGAACAGCATCACTGGGATGCGGGTACAATCCAGCTGACGAAACGCGCGTCCTGGATTCTTCTGCTAGCCACAACCAACCAATTTATCATAATTGCTTGAAAATCTGCCTTGAAATCCTGATATTAACTTGATGTTCGGATATCTGTTGCCACTTAAAATTTACTGTTTCCAATAATGGCAAATTGGTACATAACGATGACATATCAAACTATATCAAGCTAACTGTAAGGAGTCTAAGATCTATTGTAGCCGATTCCCAACTGCCTGGCATTGAGAATTAAACGTATCTGAAACTACGCGAAGAGGAGGCCCATGTTTGTGGACTTAAAGTAGACCATACAACCGTGATGTGTTACTCCCTGCGAACACAAGTCAATCGCATATAGCCTCAGAAATCACCCTATTTACTTTCAATCCCCTGTGAGTATTTGTTATCTCGTTATCCACCTTTCCAATTAAGTCTGATAAGTCACTAAGCTTTTGGAACTTCGTCTGATCATTCAGACAAGCACTTATTTTGTCTGTTTGTAATCGTCTGTATTCGTCGTTTAACTGCACGTTTTCTTTCATCGATATTCTGAGGCTGGTTATACAGATAAATCAGTCTGTAGCATTGAACAGAAGTGTATTGCCACACTAAACAAGAATAGTACAAAACGAGGAAGTGAATAGAAAGGAATGTTATGAAAACAAATTGCAGTCTATGAGAGATAGATAGAACTATTAGATAAGGCCTGTTGGAAATGTCCAAAATTTCGAGTGATTTTGATCGATTCTGTTCCTAACATATCGAAGACAGTAAACAAGCGAACTAAGGCTCAATGCACAGTTCAGATCAGCAATGAAATACCTTATAAACAAGTGTCATATCTTCCAAAATGATTCTATTTCAGCTAAGATAATGGCTTGAGGTACGTCATAGTTCCGTATGCGAGATACTTTTTTTTCCTGGTTGTATTGCGTTCTCTAAGCTAGGTTGTTTAGTCGTGGAACTTTCATTGTTTTGCTAGACGACATCATTAGCAATAACCTCAGTATGAACTGAGCCGTCAATATCTCTCCGTGAGTGATTTAGTAGCTTGCCCTGACGAACTGCATTGTGATTGGTTGTTTCCTTCGATTGTTGTGCCATTGACCGTGTAGATTTTCCTGTTGGCTGTTCCTCTGTTCGACCTGACCTCTGACGTTCCTGTCGTTTATCATTTTTCTCATCGGTTGATAGATTGAGTCTATGTCTATACATCTGTTGATTGCTGACTGACTTGAATGGCGAGTCTCTAGGAATTCTCTGATATTCTTGGTGTTTCCTGTGTCCAAAATTTCTACATCGTCAAAATTGAATTCATGTTCATACTGAAGTTATTACTGATGATGTTGGCTAGCAAGACAATGAAAGCTCCACGACTAAACAGCTCAACTCAGAGAATACATACGTTTTCCCATCTAGTGGATTAACCTTTGTTAGGGTATTGATATAATTATATTACCACGTGTTCAGAATGCATATTTCGTCCTCTCTGTGACTCTTAAACAGGGTGTTTCTCTATTCCAGTAAGTGATGTTCTATGGAGACGTGAACCGACAGCGTTATCCCTTGCGTTATTTAGTTATGAAGCTTGTTACTTAAATTCAAAAAAAGATGACTTTCTTGAATCACGTATCTAGTAGTGGAGTCTCTGACACTTAAAACAGTGGGTACGGGATACTATTCGTAGTGGAAATAAAATCAAATGCATCCATCCAGGTAGGTCTAACTGGGAGTGTATTCTACTACTTGAAACCACCATATACAATATTTTTTTCATCTTCATTTATCTTTTTTATGTCTTATTAAGTTTTTGTTGTTAGGATGCTACAATTATCACTTTCTCTGGTATGTAAAATGACCTAAGACATGTTCAATGTTTCTCATTTCTATTCGTAAATGAATTTATTAATTTCTAGGAGCTTACTGCACATGATATTGATGTTCACAATGTCATTGTAAATCAATTATTATTTCCAAATCTACGATCATCTAGTTGTGATACAGGTCATGCTAACTCTTCTTTAAACAATGATTCAGATGAACCACCAAGCGATTGTCGAATGTGTTTAGCACGTCATCGAATACAATCGAAGTATTTGGAACAAATTTTAGAACTCTACGAAGATATGCATGTTATTCAGTTACCTCAATTAGAAAATGAAGTAAGAGGAATACAGTCTGTGAAAAATTTTTCTGAGCTTCTTTTAAAGCCTTATCGTAGGCCATGAATGAAAGTAGCAGGATAGTGTACGGTTAATCGGAAATATCTTGTAAAAACTATACTTTTTGCCTGCCGTTTTTATTTCTGAGTGGTTTTTCTTTGATAATATACATATATAATTACTATTATCATGCCGCAGAGAGAAATGCTCGTCTTCTACAATTTCTTTTTAAATTGCCCTTAAAAAAGTGTGTGTTCAGTACGATCGGATCTGTAACTGACTAATTTATATATTGGATTGGCGAATATCACATTCTCAAGGGTTTTAGAGATGAATCAGGTCATTCAGTTCGCTTCTTTAAGCTTTGCATTAATGAATTATACTACTACTGGTCGCCTTGAACAGTTAGAAACCATCCAGGCTGATCTGTAGATTTCACCAGCCAGGTCAGAGTAATCTAAACACGGGATGACCGTTTCGTTTTATTTAAAACCGAGCTCATCAATGGCGTACTCGGACAAATTTAGCTTATAGAGCCGAACTTGTTCAAATCACCTAAATCTATCCGGTGTTTAGATCACTCTGATCTGATTGGCGAAATACTCTAGATCAGTTTGAGTAGTTTCTAACTACTCTAGTTGTTTAGTGATATATTTCGTTAATTCATGACACTTTTGTGCTATACACATCACACTTTGTTGATACCATAGTTGAGCAGTTTGAAAACTACTCAACTGTGAGAAATTTCAAGTTGGACCATGCAATTCGTAAATTGGGTCAAGTTTCGTATTACGTTTCAGATGGTCATAAGCAAACAAGATACTCAATTTTACGTTCCACAGACGTATATCTTTGTAACCTTTCTAAATCTGATATCGGACAATTCGAAAAACACTAAATTTGATGAAACATCTCTAGGGAATAAGTTTATCAAAATTTTAGATTTCAACTATCTATAAATTTTACGGTAGGAAGTCACATCTGCTGTCTGTATAGTTATTAAATAGTGATGTTATTATTTCCCAAAATAGACTTAGATATCTAGTGATTATATATCATGCTTTTGTGTGACCTATTTACCAAATAAACTTACTGACATTGTAGTTACCCCGGTAACACCTTACTGTAATTGTTCGGAGTCCGATTCCCTCTCCACCCACTCCAGCTTGAATGACAAAGTACTATGTATAATAAGTTCTCACATATTGAGTAGTACATAGACGTACGAACACCAGGTTGAGTTGCGCATCATATTTTGATGACTGACACATCCGCGATATTCTAACTGAAGTGACCATAGAAATTCAATGAGATAAGAAAATAGTATTTATAATGAACTGTACTATTTTTAATGCTAAAAATATTCCGATAAACCTATGATGTTAAGAGGCTTATTTGGAGCAAACGTGATTTTTTGTTTTCTGATTGTTACCTGACAGACACTGAGTTCGTCAGTTGTTGTTAGGCTTATAATATTAACAACCATCAGGGGAGAATCACTTGTATTCATTTTCTTTTATCATACCGTGACCAATCCCATACAACACACAATATTCGAAATAAATATAAAGCTAAAATACGAATTAAATATGACTATAAACTTAGTCAAGGTGGTAAAAAGAGTTTGTATGAAAACAATACTGCTTTGTGATTGATACATATACTGATTAGGTGAAAAGTGGTACAAGTAGAAACTATTCCATTGCAAACTTTAGTTTTAGAACTTTTGTATAAGTTTCATTAGAATATTCTTTTTTGATTATTATTATTATTACTATTTGTCCCTTGGGTTCCTAATGGAACATAGGGCTTCAGTAGCACGTCTCCAATGCGCTCTGTTCTCTGAAATCTTTTGAACCTGGCTCCACGACAACCCACAAGCTCTCATTTCTTCCTCGCACGATCTCCTCCATGTCACCCTTGGACGCCCAACTCGTTCCACTGGAGGGCCTGACACGTGATGTCCCCGAATGGTCTTCTCAGTGCCTGCCCAATCCATCTCAACTTCCTTCTGCATATTTGTTCAGTGATAGGTTCTTGGCTGGTTCGTTCCCAGAGTTCCTTGTTACTTATTCTTTCTGGCCATCCACCTGATCTTCAGCAACAAGCGTAGGCATTTTTTTGTGTTAGTGTAGTTAAAATTACTCCAGAGAAGCGAATATATGTAAATAGTAAAACTGGACTTATAGTGTGAACAAGTAGACAGTGTAAATGGAGAGCATGTTGATCGTTTTTTAAGGTCATACATTCAAATAAACTGTGTTAGTAAATTAGTAAGTAAGCTATTCAATTTTTTATGGTTAAGAGATGTATGTGAAGTTTATGAGGAAGGCAGGTGTACATTTCATTAAGGCCATAAGTATTCACTGATGCACACAAATTGAATTGTCCATCCTTTACAATAAACAATCATCATTGATGATGATAAAAATGTCCTATCAATTCATTCTGTCTGTTGATTGTGAAGACAAAATACATTGTCTCTTTATAAAAGTGTATTTAATTAGTGTACACAAATTGTTTATAGTAAAATTTCAAGATGCTTAACATGGTATCCATAACTAAGGATTGGACAATAAGAGGAAACCGACAATAGTAGTAATTACCAGGTTCAACTGTGGTTAGACTACCTCCTACTACTAAAGGAACTTACGATTACTTAGTCAGGAAATTACTTTATCTGACGGAAATTCAACAGTGGATGCAGTTTGTATTGCTATCAGTTAATATTTAAGAGGATTACTAAATAATTTTTAATCTTTATGGAGCATCTGCTTAATTTCTGACCATGTTAGGGTGTCTTATATTAGATTGAAACAATCATATCTGAAAGGTTTCTGAGGACTCGACTTAAAAGTGATAACACTTTAGATATATTTGAAGCAAAGATGGCTAGATTGTTATTTATCGTAAAATGAAGATGAAGACCTACAAATAAAGGTAACTGTGTCTCTGCATTTTCATCTGAACTAATGAATGAAATTGTTCTGACTTCAAGTGTGGTAAGCAGTGACAGAAACCTAATTGTAAACTGTCAGAGAGTGTGAAATAATTGTCAGTATTGATTGGAAACAAAGTTAAAGAAGAACAAGTCAATGATACTTTTCATGGTTCGCTAACCAACTCAGTAATAATCAAAATTGTAATGATCAGTTAGACTGACTTTAGTTACAATCCAGTATCCCAGTTACTAACATCATTTTGAATGGTATGTGTTACTCATCCCAAGTCACTCGCCCTCTCCTATGTGTGACGCTAACTAGTGGGAGTCCAAAAGAAAGCGAAGGGTGGCAAGATGAATATGTGACATCAATCCTTGAAGTCACTGCCCACTGAAGTTAGAGAAATCTATGCCTCCTAGTTGGTGTTCACCAAACAAATAAGTTTGGTGGTTAAACACTTCAGTTAGTATCGCTCATGATAAATTTAGTTAGCTTATCTAAACCTACGCCTCCGTTTTTATCTGAATCTCGACTTCTCATTGGATTTAAGAGGCCTACAAATGAGTTCAGAGACAACTAATTACAGGAATTACCGCTGCAGGTTCTTAAAAACAGTGATCACTGATATTTAGTTAAATAAAAGGATCATACAGCACATCGACATGAGACATTAGAAGATGTGGCTTAGGATTTAAACCAGGAGTGGATGTTTTCAACGAATGAACATTTGTACAAATGATAAAAAAATGTTGTGTAGCTATTTCTTTCTCGATTATTTTTTACTGGATCTTTGCTACGCTGACATGTGTATGCGGCTTTTCTTAGTGCACACATTGTAATTATCTTTATTCTGGAAGAAAGTAATACCTGCACTATGTAGGGTCAAGCGGGATTTTCTATGATCATTTCCGATGGCTGCTCTAGTCTACAAAAAAGGATGAAAATTACACATTAATTGAGTTGACCTGATTAAGTTCCAAGATTTTAGTGTCTATAATCATTTGACACTTTATCAGAACTCAGAATATATCAACCAGTTAGGTTTCAAACCTAGACTTAGATACACCAGCCAGTGTTTCGTCTTTTGTGTTTGAAAATAGGCACTTCTTACCTACTCCTAGCACCGGCTATATTTCGTGATTTGGATACCAAATTCGACTTCATCCATCGCAATTTCTTGTGGGAGTGTCTGACACTTGAATCTCCTCAATAAAGACAATCTGCCCCAGCGCTTATGTTTTTGTCATATCTTGCCAGTTATTACCTGTAGACGGCTACATCGAATGTTGTTGGTCATCGTAGTTCACTCCCTCTATTTACTGTTTCGGTTCTGACCTACCATGAAAGGTCGTATTTTCTTTCAACCTATCACGGTTCATACCCTTAGTAGAGATCTCTAGAATATACAGATGGTATAGATTCATGTTCAATGAGAACTCTGACAACGCATAAGGTCTTTGGGTCTCCCTGACTGGCTGTGCGGAATTGTTTGTCAGCCTGCAAAACATCAGTTGATTCAGGATTTACTTGGCTTCTTTACATTTAGGGAGCGAAATGCCTGAAAGTTCTGGTGACTCTACATAGCTGAGACTTGTAGTGGACCTAAAGAAATGTCAGGTAAACCAGAATGTTAAGCTGCATATAATTAACAAAAATAGATTCAACGATACACAAATATGAAAAGTTATGTATTATACTTCAAAATAGTAATATCAATGTTATGGATAATAATGGATTACTTGAATGTTATCTCTTCGGTACTGTCCACCACAATTTTAGCATAACCTAATGCTAGTTCAGAAGGCAATACTCGTTAGATCTCCAGAGTCGACGTTAGTTGGCTTGATTGTCATGATATTTGGAAGTAGGATGAGAGGTCCTGTAAAATCCAAGGATAATCAATGAGTATTTACATCAGACAATAGTCAACGGAGTCAGAAGTCGGAGTGGACAGGAGCACACTGTATTTCCACGTATTTTAAAACAGAAGCAAAGTCATACCGCCACAACCAAAATTTCAACTTTTAAGTTGTACATATAAACAATATTCGTCTTTACAAGTATTACGAAGAATGTACAAAATGTGTAAAAACTGATGAAAAAGGAAACATTATTTTTAATTTAGGTGGTTTACACATAATTCCATGCATTCTCCCATAGACTTCATATCTACCCTAGTGATTTAGTAACTGAATCGGTACGTATATAAATGTCCCGATTGCTATGTGCCAACAAGTATTTACTGTTAGCAGTAATCAAT